CACGAGTCACATTTAAGTCTCTTATCCATTTTGAGTTTATTCTTGTATATGGTGTAAGTTAGTAGTCTAACTTAATTTTATTGCATGTAGCTGTCCAATTTTCCCAGCCCCATTTATTAAAGAGGTTGCCTTTTCTCCACTATATGCTCTTGCCACCTTTGTCAAATATTAATTGAGCATAATGTCTTGGGTCACTTTCTGGGTTTTCTGTCCTGTTCCATTGATCTATCTGCCTGTTCTTATGCCAATACCAGGCTGTTTTGATTACAATGGCTTTGTAGTATAACCTGATATCTGGTATTGTGATCCCTCCTACTTTGTTCTTCTTTTTCAAGATTGCCGTGGCTATTCAGGGTCTTTTTTGATTCCATATAAACTTTTGGAGTACTTTATCTAGTTCCATGAAATATGACATTGGTATTTTAATGGGTATTGAACTAAATCTATAGATTGCTTTGGGTAGAATGGACATTTTAATTATGTTGATTCTTCCAATTCATAAACAAGGTATATGCTTCCACTTTTTTATATCTTCCTCTATTTCTTTAATAGAAACATATTTTAAAAGAAAAAATAAGTATACAGTATAAGGATACTATGCGGTACCAGTTGATCAAAGGAAGACAAAGAGATGAATGATAAGCAAGAAATGAGTGAAGCCTCCAATAATACAAAAAATGCCAGGTCTTGATGTGGATTTTTCAGAGCTTTCTTAAATCCATCTGTTCTTCATAACATTAACCTATGGTCATAATTCTCAATCTCCAAATTTCTCCCTTTCTCCCATTTTAGTTTCTCTCTTTCTTTTATACAAGACTGAATAATGTTGAGCTGCTGTGAATTGCTGAGTTCTGTTTAGTTCCTGGTATAATTGGAAACAACTGAATTTGAATAGCAATTTGGTTTTCACATCTTTCATTTATTAACATTCTTCAAAATATAGAAAGTAAAAGGGTAAAAACAGTTTTACATAATATAGAGAATGTCAAGAACAGAAAATAATGAGGACAAAAAAAAGAAACTGAATAAAAATGAGTGCAATTCTTTCTACAGAGTTTCATTTTATATATCTGTTTGAACTGATGTATATTTCTCATCTGAAGCAGTGTTAATCCATAAATATTATAAATATAGGGTTTATCCATTTAATAAATAGACCCAGTGATTATGTAACTAATGTTCAAAAAGAGATAAAGCATTTGCTTTGGTCTCCAGTTAAAATATAAGTATAGCAAAGGAGCAGATTTGACTTGCTGAAGTCCATATATAAATGGTTGGGCGTCACCATATGCAAAACTAATATCTGCTGCTCCTGGCACACAGGTGTGTTCAGTTTGTTTTAAGTTCACCATTCTGTATGGACATCAGAGTTCAACAGAAAAGGTATTTTTAAACTAAACTACAGACCAGCCAGTGTAGCTCAGTGGTTGAGCATCGACTCATACACCAAGAGGTCGCCAGTTCAATTCCCCATCAGGGCAGATGCCCAGGTTGTGGGCCTGATCTCCAGTGGGGGGCATGCAGGAGGCGGCCAGTTGATGTTCTATCTCTCTCTCCCTCTCCCTCTCTCTAAAATCAATAAAGATAATTTTTCTTTTTAAATTAAACTACAGGCCCTGGCCAGTTTGGCTCAGCAGTTAGAGCATCAGCCTGCGGTCCAGAGAGACCCAGGTTCGGTTCCCACTAAGGGCACGTACCTCGGTTGCAGTTTGTCCCCGGCCCTGGTTGGGTTGTGCGGTGGCAGCCACTCGATGTGTCCCTTTCATGTCAATGTTTCTCTCTCTCTCTCTCTCTCTCTCTCTCTCTCTCTCTCCCCTCCCCCCCTTCCTCTCCCTCCCTCCCACTCTATCTGAACAAAAAATGGAAACATTGCCTTGGGTGAGGATAAAAATAAATAAATAAATAAATAAATAAATAAATAAATAAATAATAAAATAAAATCTACCCTAAATTAAACTACAGAACAAGTTAAAAACTAACACCAAGTCATTTTCTTTCCTGGGATTTGGCTATAAATGTACTTATGAACTAGCTATGCAGTGGTCAAATACAGGGGAGGATTAGCAAAACAAATCCAGAAAGTTTAAAAATCCACTATATAGAAAATGCTTCCTGCACTATACAGAGCCTTCTTGTGTACAAATGGGTGGAAAGAGTGGTGTGTATTGTCCAAGGCACATAAGGTCTTTGCCATCTCTTACCAGGTTTGGAAACCTTCAAGTGGCTCTTTCGTCCTGGGTACCAGATCTGCAATCCTGGTTACTCCTCTCTGTGGTTCCGGGACCAGGCTCTCAGGTCAAAACGCAAGGGTTTAAGTACCAGCTCAGCTACTTACTAGCTATGCAACCTTAAGCAGGTATTGAACACCCTATCCCAGCTTTGTCATCTATAGAATGTAGACAACAATAGTACAGTATCTACTTCCTGGGATTGTTGCAAAGAATTACATGCCTGGTACCTAGGAAGTGTATGATAAATGTTCATCATTATCATAATTTCCATGTTAGTGGTTCAATATATAAGACATGAATAGCCCTGGCCAGTTTGGCTCAGTGGTTAGAGCGTCGGCCCATGGACCAGAGAGTCCCGGGTTCGGTTCCCGCTAAGGGCACGTTCCTCCTTTGCAGTTTGTCCCCGGCCCTGGTTGGGTCGTGTGGGTGGCAGCCAGTTGATGTGTCTTGCTCACATCGATGTTTCTCTCTCTCTCTTCCCCCCTCTCTCCCTCCTGCTCTATCTGAAGATAAATGCAAAATGTCCTCAGGTAAGAATAGAGATTAATAACTAAAATAAAATAAAGATATGAATAACTGAGAGAAGAAGAAATAGCAGCTGATTCTGCTCAAATTGCTTTTTCTTTCTTACTTTTGTTTTTATCCTTACCTGAGGACATTTTTGTATTTATCTTCAGATAGAGTGGGAGGGAGGAAGAGAGAGAGAGAAACATCGATGTGAGAGAGACATATCAACTATCTGCCACCCACACGACCACACCAGGATCGGGGACAAACTGCAACCGAGGTACGTGCCCTTAGCAGGAACCGAACCTGGGACTCTCTGGTCCGTGGGCCAACGCTCTAACTGCTGAGCCAAACCGGCCAGGGTTCAAATTGCTTTTTCTATAAAAATAAAACATTTATGGCTGAAGTGTTCATGGGACAAGGGCACTGATGTTTGCAACTTACTTTAAAATGTGCCAAAAGCCCTGGCTGGTTTGCCTCAGCGGTTAGAGCATCAGCCTGAAGACTGAAGGGTCATGGGTTTAATTCCCAGTCAAGGGCACGTACCGGGGTTGCAGGTTCGATTTCCAGCCCTGGTCTGGGTCACACGGGAGGCAACCAATCAATGTGTCTCTCTCACACCAATGTTCCTCTCTCTCTCTCTCTCTCTCTCTCTCTCTCTCTCTCTCTCTCTCTCTCCCTTTCCCTCTATCTAAAAATCATTGGAAAAATATCCTCAGGTGAGGATTAACAACAACAAAAAACAAAAATAAATAAATGTGCCAAAAGCTACATTGATGGATGGATATGAGGATCAGTAGGTGGATAGATATGTGATAAAGCAAATGTACTGAAACATTCATTGTAGGATCTAGGTGGTGTGTGTGTGTGTGTGTGTGTGTGTGTGTGTGTGTGTGTGTGTGTGTGTTCACAGCACAATTTTTTAATTTTTATGTATATAAATGTTGGAAAAACAAAAGAAATCTGTACAATTACTAAGTGTAAGCAGAGACCCTGTACTGTACAACTTTAAGTTAAATATAAACACCTAATTATGTATTTTTCTTTTCTCTCTAAACTTAAGTGTTGTACTTCAGTCTCTCTAATTTCAGAAAAACCTTTGCTTTCACCCTAAATCCTTCTGTCTTGTCAGATGTTCCAATGCTTCTTTGTCATTCTGTTTATGAACAGATTTTGTGTTCAAAGGCTTTTTGTACACGAAGTGACAAGAACCACAAAGCCCACCCTGGCTTGTCTTGCCCCAAGAAAATAAAAGGAGGGATGTGGGGCCCTTTCTCTGTTTTAACAGCCCAATGGGCATAATCTAGTTATCCCAGAGCTCTAAGTTGTTTGTATTTAATCCATCCCTTCAATTAAGCAAATTCTAAGGCAATTTAATTGCAAGAGAAATGTGGTTTATCTTTACTCAAAATTCTATCATTGTTATCTCTTTTTTTTTTTTTCTCCTTACCCGAGGACATTTTTCCATTTTTTGTTCAGATAGAGCAGGAGAGAGACAGAGGAAGAGAGAGAGAGAGAGAAACATCGATGTGAAGGGACACATCGAGTGGTTGCCACCTACACGACCATCCAGGGCTGGGGACAAACTGCAACCGAGGTACGTGCCCTTAGCGGGAACCGAACCCGGGTCTCTCCAGACCGCAGGCCGACGCTCTAACCGCTGAGCCAAACCGTCCAGGGCTGTTATCTCTTTTTATAAAGAGCTTCGTACTTGGTTCATTATTGTTTGGACCCACAAAAGGAGAGAAATCTCTGGCAGACACAGTTGTTTTGCCTCCTCCACAGCCCTTCCCCACCTTCTTCTTTGCTTACCGGCTCCTAAGACTAGATACAGGCCAAGAATGAAAGTGGAGGCGTGGTGGGATCCAAGGGAGTTGTGCTGGACTTCCCATTTCTCTCAGTCAAAATAAAGTGATTGGAAGCTGAAAATGCACACTAATTTTTATCAGCTATGGATGCTGTGGCAATAGTCGAAGATGTCCCCAAATTCCTTGCCCTCCCATCAAAAGAAAGGATCTCCATGCAAGACTGGAAACACAGGCTGAGAAAAATGAGTCTCTGGTTTTTCCAACATCTGTAATAAAAAACCTATGAGGAATACAAGGTTGGGAATGGCTTTTAGGTAGTTGGGCAGAACAGTGTGCCACAGGTTTTCTCGGAGTCGGTTGTGGGGCGTCTGCTCTGGTGGTGAGCTACCCCTGTTTTGTTCGCCCACCCTCGGAAGTGGCAAATGTGCAGCAGTCTGAGTCACCCTCTTCCAGGATGGAGACTGAAGGAGACCCAGAGACACAGAGAAATAGAGAAGTCCAGAATGATCCAATAATGTCACCACTAAATGAGATGATGGCTAAGGAGCCAGAAGATGTCCTAATAGCAACTCCCCAGGCCCAGGTTCCAACGAGAGCCTTCTGGGCATTCACCAGAGAGCCTCCTTGAAGGCTGTGTCAGAGATGTTGACACAATGCCAGGGAGGAATCCTCTCAACCCTGCAGCCTTCAGGCAGATGTTCAGAAAGTTCTGCTATGAGGATGCAGCCTGGCCCACAGAGGTCCTCAGACATCTCCTGGGTCATGCTAGGCAGTGGCTGAAACCTGATATTTACACGAAGGAGCAAATTGTGGAAATGCTGGTGCAGGAGCATTTCCAGGCCGTCCTGCCTGAGAAGCGGGCTCAGGTGCAGAAATGTCAGCCCAGGGTCAGACTCACTGGCTAAGTCTCACTACTTACTTCTTCTTCAACTTACTTGTGAGATGTAACCAAAGGTTCTCTTTGTTGCAAGTTCCTACAACAGTCATGGGAAATCTGAACCTTGGTTGTCTTTTTGTCTTTGACTAGTTGTAATAAGAATCAATCAATCAAAACCCATGTCTGGATCTCTTTTTTCCGGAGGCAGCTCTATTTCCTGGGACTGTGAACTCCAGGGGGAGTTTCTTTGCCCTCTTTTTAGGACAACCAACCTTGCCCTGGCAGGTTTGGCTCAGCGGTTGAGCATCGGCCTGCGGACCAGAGAGTCCCAGGTACCAAAAAAAAAAAGACAACCAACCTGCTGCTTGTTTTTTCTCTACTGAACGTCTCCTTTTTTGTACTTTGTAACATCCTTTAATATATTGCTTTTATGTATCCAAAGAGGTAATTGCTTTAACTTTCAGAATTCTTTATTCTTGCTAGGTGGTATGAGTGGGAGTTGCTGTAACCTGACCAGTAATTCATTTGGGATGTCCTTGAAATACTCTAGTTTGGTTCTTAATAAAAATGCTGTACAGTTTTTAAAAAAAGAATTCTCAGCCACAACTATCTTCCTAATAAGTACCAAATCAAATGACCAACTTATTGCCCTGGCCGGTTTGGCTCAGCGGTTAGAGCGTCAGACTGCAGACCAAAGAGTCCCTGGTTCAATTCCAGTCAAGGGCATGTACCTCAGTTGTGATTCATCCCCGGCCCTGATCAGGATCGTGCAGGAGGCAACCAATCAATGTGTCTCTCTCACATTGATGTTTCCTTCTCTCTCTCTTTCTCCACCCCCCCACTCCCCCACCCCCGCCATCTGAAGATAAATGGAAAAATATCCTTGGGTGAGGATTTTAAAACAAGAAAACCTATTGGTAGAGGGGTGAGAAAGAACATAGGTTTATTTTGCTACCAGATGACCATTTGAGGGCTAGTGATTTATCAACACCTGAAAATAATTTCTAGTCATGTTATATAACTCACAACGTTTTTATGATGATGCTTTGACATCAATGCCTCTCTCTATCTGAATTTCTTTTTACAGTTTTGTCTTTGGTTTTGCTTTATTTGAGATATAACATACATACAGTATAGAATATGCTCTATTTCAAGTGTGCAGCTCAATATATCGACATATGTACACACCTGAGTCATCACCACCACACCAAGATCTAGAATATTTTCAGCATCCAGAAGGCTCTCTCATGCTCCCTCTCAATTAACACCCACCTTCAAGGATAACCCCTACTCTAACTTCGGTTATAATCTGTTACTTTTGCCTGTCCTTGAATTTCATATTAATGATTTAAACAGTATTTAGACTTTTGTGGCTGGCTTCTTCCATAATGTATGTGAGAATCAGTAGGGTTTTTTTGTATATTTGTTTGTTTCCTCGTTTGGAGTATTTCATTATATGTACATCTTATAAAGTATTTATCCATTCTCCTATTGATGTGCATTTAGGTTGTTTCCAATTTGGGGCTATTAGGAGAAGTCCACTGTAAACATTCTTATAATGCATGTCTTTTGATGGACATGAGCAATCGTTCCTCCTGGGTATATATCTAAAAGCAGAATTTCTGGATCATGGCGTAGGGATATGTTCAGTCTTAGTGACACTGCCAAACCATTTTGCAAAGTTGCTATATTCCCCTATTTGGTTGCAGTTTCTAAGGCATTAATATGCTCTCTGATGCTACCTCTTCTCACCAAAAGAGTACCTTTAAAGAGAAGACTTAAAACACAATCTTTCCTCTGTGATTGGCCCCACATCATCCTTTCAGCTTTTCTCTGTTGCTCTAACTCTGAAGGCCAGCTTAAAGGAACCTACACTAAGTGAATATTTAAGGCTGTCTCATGACCTAATAAATTATAAGCAGGTAAAAGGCAAATGATTTATAGGTCCATTTTCATGTCATCTCATTTCACAAACTTGAGTAACTCTTTTCTCCTCCTTCGGTTCATGCCTTTGTGGTTTAAAGAAATGAATGCAACTAAACTATGAGCACGTTGTGAAAATAAATGAGTGAAGTTCTTTAGGCTTCCTGGGGACAGGAAGGAGGATGGGAGGAAACTGTTACAGAAATGTAATCATTATTGTAATCGGCCTGCAGTGCTATGAATAAGTCATAATTATCTTACAATCTGAGCTAATGCTGTGATGCTTTCTCTTGTCATGTCAACATGTGCATGTACATATCAAGTAGAGCCACGGAGCTGCTCCAATGCTGAACACCCCAAGCCCCCACTATGCATGCATATTGACCTTACAATCCAGGAAAATATTCAATACCCTCAGGACTATAGGAGCGTTTTTACCCACAATGTCCTCATCTTTCCCTGTTCAAATCACTGCCGAATTTTTCACGGAAACCTCCATAGAGTTCAACTGTAAAAAATGACTGATTTACATTGGATGGAAACCTATTTCTGACATTTGTGCAGGTGCATTCTTAAACTTACACAAATTCAAGGGGGGGAAGTGTCATATTCTTGTGCATATGGATGTCCCCAACCTTATCTCCATTTCATCATGTGAGCTGTTAGAGAATATTCCCCTCCACAGGAAGAAAAGAAAACTAAAGCAATAAAATAATGAGAATGAAATTTACAAAACGTTAATATTCGTGAAGTGGTCTGCGTTAAGTGTGCTAAATTGAGTGTCAGCAGCTTCATTCTAGACCAGTTATTTTGTCGTTCCAAGATTTTTTCCTAAAACACATCCAGGGGTAATGCTAAACCAAGGGCATGTGAGGTAATTTTTGACAGATTAAGTGCTCCCTGGGACCAAAGCTCAAGACCCCCTCAGATGCTCTATCTCTTCAGCACCAAGACTTGGATGACACACAGTCCTTATTGGACCCCTGGCCAATTCAATGAGAAACTCTGGAGGAGGAAGGGCCCAGACACTGCTAGTTTTTTTTTCAAGCTCTCCAGGTGATTCTAATGTACAGCCAGTCAGATTTGAGGATTACTGCAGTCCATCCTGCCTTGCACCATGGGCAATAAGAGAAAGGGAGCATCACCTAAATTGTGATAGCCACATTCAGAAAATTACTAATGGGATCTGCTTAATTCTTAAATGCACTGATCAAAGGACAGGGTGGAATGCTAACTTTCAGTAAAGCAAAGCATAAAACAGGTTGAACACTGAAACATTTCACCCAAGTCATGCTGCATCCAAAGAAAGAGAAAGAGGAAACAAAAGAAAGAGAATCAGGAAGAGAATGACAGTGGCAGGCAGGGCAGCCAACCAGGATGCTCATAGGGAACATAGTAGAAGTTCTCAGGGCACATCCCAATGTTCACCATTTTGATGTGGGAATTTGGAATGGCTCTGATATAGCTGCTTAGCCAGAGACCTGATCTATCTGAGACCATGTGTCTTAAGAGAAGACAAACCAGTGCAGCCCCCCACAAAAGAGTGTATTTGTGTGTATGTTGATGCACTTTCTGAATAAAAGAAGTTGGAAAGTTTTGTGTCCCCATACCAGAGGCAGAAATAAGAGATGGCAGGAGAAATGGAGAATATCCTGGTATTAGTTCTCCAACTGGCCCTAGGAGACAGAGCCTGAACTCCAATCAAGAGAATAAGTGCACCCTGGCCAGTTTGGCTCAGCAGTTAAAGCATCAGCCTGCTAACCAAGAGGCCTGGGTTCGGTTCCCGCTAGGGGCATGTACCTCAGTTGCAGTTTGTCCCCAGCCCTTGTTGGGGTTGTGTGGGTGGCAATCATTCGATGTGTCTCTCTCACATCGATGTTTCTCTCTCTCTTCCTCCCTCTCTCCCTCATGCTCTATCTGAAGATAAATGCAAAAATGTCCTCGGGTGAGGATAAAAAAAAGAGAGAGAGAGAAGAAGTGCAAGGAAAACTGAAAGGACCATTTTAATTAAAAATTCTATGACTGTATATCTTAAGAAAATATTTTTTCTCTTTCACCATAATGCCTGTTGGAAACTTCTGAATCAATTGGTGAATAAATCATAAAATCTTCTCCTGCCTAAATTCCATTAGCAAAGAAGATAATAGAATCAGAATAGATGAAAAGAAAAATATATCTTTGGTGGGAGTGGTAAATACCACTATTCTACTGTCACATTCTTTTTTAAAAAAAAATATGTTTTATTCAACAATGAGGTATCACCTCACACCTGTCAGAATGGCCGCCATTAATAAAACATCAAACAAGTGTTGGCGAGGGTGTGGAGAAAAGGGGACTCTAGTACACTGCTGGTGGGAATGCAGACTGGTGCAGCCACTATGGAAAACACTATGGTGTTACCTCAAAAAATTAAAAATTGAAGTGCCATTTGACCCAGTGATCCCACTTCTAGGAATATACCCTAAGAAGCCTGAAACACCAATCAGAAAGAATATATGTACCCCCATGTTCATAGCAGCACTATTTACAATAGCTAAGATCTGGAAACAGCCCAAGAGTCCATCAGTAGACGAATGGATAAAAAAAAAAGCAGTGGTACATATACACAATGGAGTACTATGCAGCTGTAAGAAAGAAAGATCTCTTATCCTTTGAGATGACATGGAGGGACCTGGAAAGTATCATCCTAAGCGAAACAAGCCAAGCAGAGAAAGACAAGTATCATATGATCTCACTTATTTGTGGAATAAAATGAACATAACAGCCTGAGTTATTGCGTAGTCCCAGAGACGTGGAAGTAGGGTATAGACTAACAATCCCCAAAAGAGGGGGTGGTGGGGGAGAGATAAACCACAGAACTTATATGCACGTATGCATGTATGCATGAACCATGGACATGGACAACAAAGCTGGGGACAGGGCAGGGAGGGAGGGGAAGTGGGGAATCAGTAGGGGAAAAAGGAGAAACATCTGTAACAAAAATTAATTAATTAATTAATAAAAAGAAAAAGAAAGTGCACTCTCAGAGCCAGAGAGGAGCTAGCTTACATGGTCAGAAGTCTCCAACCTTGGCCCCTGATTGGCCTGCCTTCATGCAAATGAGGA